ATCAGATGGGATACAGAAGATCACATTGCAGCATCACCTGTATGGGGCTGTCCTCTGATCCTTACCCACAATCTGATGACTGGCTCACCACTTGTCCCAGGGCAAAGCTACATTTGTACTGCTCCTATATACAGAGCTCAAACTCTCTGCCATCCTTGCACACCCTTGTCTTTTTTTGCATCCCTCCATTGCAGCACCCTAGTTATGAGAGCTATCCCACCACATCACCACAATCATAATGGGGTCTTGTCCAGAGACTGTCCTCCTGCATGTTCCTCATGCTACATGAATTTGTTTACAGACATTTGAGGTGGGTCCCAAGTTGCTTTTACAGTGGAAGTGTGAAAACTTCCCCTGTCATGCTGCCTTCCAGATGCACCTGTTATGCCTCTTGTGCCCTCAGTTCTCTCCAGGTTATGGTAACCCTCCCTGCCACACCTCATGTAAAACCTCCTCATTAGGTTAGGAAGCCTGTTTGCAAAGACAGCCTTGCCATGCTCTGTCAAGTATACCCCATTCTAGCTCGGTGGCCTTATCTGCAACTGCAGTCACCAAACTGAGAGCCCTCCCTGTGACACCAGCCATGTAAGCAAGCTGTGACACCCTGGATGAGTCCACTTCTGCTCATAGGAAAGACCTAGTCTTTCCCTCTCTCACTGACAGGATCGAGGAGATGCCACTTGACCCCATCCTCATCTCCAGTGCTCTGTAGCCATCCTTAATGCACTCCCAGTTACTCACAGCAGCATCACACATGCCTACATGGAAATTCAGCAAAGGGTAATGTCCTAAGGAATAACAAGCCTGGGTAGCACCTCCACAACTTCCAGATTTGTTGTCATATTGCTGCCTCATCTTTATAGGGGGACGTCTCCTAGAAGACTGCTTTAAAAAACCCTTCATGTGGATGCCAGGTTCAGGCTTAGCTAGCTCTGATGTCAGATTTATGCAGATTGTCCCTAATTCATCTTCTTGCTGGTATCAGCAGCCTTGCATTTATTTTGAGTTGCTGCATGGCACAGGGACATGGGAACTGACCTTACCTGACAGTACACAAAAGGGGCTATGTTAGTTAATGCATCAATACTTCCAAAAAAACCCGTCTATGCTTGGGGAGAAGTCAGACTCTCTTGGTTTTCACTACACATGCTGCTGAAATTACTAGGAATTTCAGATAAATAGCACAGAGCACAGACACACCAAAAACTCTTGAAGGTTTTCAGCCAACTATATTTAACAGCACAAGCAAACATAGATATTGAAAAAGCACTGTGTTTCACATTACAGGAAACAGGATCAGTACTAGTTTTAAGCATTCCTAGTCCTGCTTTCTGTTTAAATTTATCAATCAGATGAAAATAAGCTGTCTTGAAAAGTACTCCCTAAGGGGAGCAGACAATCAGACAGCTGCCATGTTCAAAACATTGTTTGGAAGCAGCAGGAGAAAAGAAACAGAGGAGGAAGGAAGTATATGAGCTACATCTACTTTTAATAAACTTGCTAAGGCGTCTTCACCAGCAGAGGGGCATGTAAGCAGCCACAACAAACATACCTTTAAAACAATAAGTCTCTGCTTATTTTGCAATTATTTTTTTATAAAGATGCAACCCGAAGCAACCCTGAGGAAGGAAAGATAAAAAAAAATAAACCCAAAACCAAAGCTGAAAGCTCTACACCTACATACTCTAGGTCTCCATACTTTCTGTGGTGCTGCAAAGTTCTATCAAGTCTTTGTTTAAAAAAGTTATTTAAATTCGTGTTCATTAAATACATTGAATTAATTACATACATTCATAAGACAATTAATACATTCATAAATCACTCATTAAATACACAAAACTCTTCTTGAGGCCTGGAAGCACGCTTGAGCTCCACTGCAATAAGTCTTTCACCTTAATTAGTTTCTTTTTTGAAGCAGAAAATTAACTTGTGAGAAGTACAGAGGAAGTGATTCTTCCTTACCAAGACTCGAGATGCTTGTGGAAAGTAATACGAAAAAGAAAGGTATTAAACCATGGAGAAAAGCAGAAGCATCTACAGCAGAGGAATATCAGTCCTTTGAAGACTGGACACAATCTGGATTCCACATACATGTGAAAATGAATGCTTTCACAACTGAAGATGGAAAAGGTGCCCCACTTTCTCTTAAAATTATAGCAAAGTAAGCTATACTTACTTGACATTGGTGTACTAAAAGTAACATTGGCAGCTTGACTCCTAGGTCATTAATTAGGATTTCCACAGAATACTGTAGAAGCTGCATTGCAATCATTGCCAAAGATGAGTTGTTACAATAAATGCAGTAAGCTTCAGATGAAATGCTATAAATATGTAATACCCATAATCAGTTATTCAAGGCTGCTGACTAATACTTGTATTTTCCACGGCATGCATTAAACATAGGGCAAACGGTTCATTGTGCCCTACCTTTACTTAACTGACACCGCAGGTAAAGTTGTCCCTGGAAATCGTGTCGATAGGAAAGTACGATCCATGAACGCCACCTGCTGCCTCCGGGGTCACTCTTCCAAAGACCTGCTGCAGCGTCATGACACGCACAAAAACTCACGTTTCATTTTATTGCAGGAAGAATATTTGCATATGTCAAACAGCAATCCATCTCCACGTAACAGCACCCAAATCGAGCCCTTAGATCCTCATCTGAGCTACTTACTATATAAAGCTTTAGACACCATTTCCCACAGAAGTCTCTTGCAGTAACACCCACAGAAGGGGGGAAAAAGGGGGAAAGGAGCAATTCACTTTGAAAGGCAAATGCCTTGTTTTATCCACATTATTCACCAAAAAAACCCCACCCAACTATGAACTGAATTTCACAATATTGGCATACCTTCAATTTCAAGGTTCATCCTTGATGAAAACTCCATATAGGCAAAGTGCAATTATTTCACTGCCTGCAGTAATATAGCACATATCCTACTCTTTGAGGCCATCTCCAAGAAATTCTCTCTAGTAACTCAGCCTATGACATTTCAGTCCTTTTGACCCAGAAGAAAGAACCCTAGGTATTTGCTTAAGTTTGGACATGCTTGGTTTCCTCATCTTGGGCACTGGGAAACCAGAAGCCAACCATACCTAGATACACTCAGCTAAGCACATGGCTGAACACTCTTCTGCGCTGAAGCCAGCATGCTCAGGACCTTGATACACCAACAGGTAAATACACACACACTCAAATCCAAGGTTTCCCAATTCACAAGCCTCTGTACAACTTGCATGAAACAAACTAGACTTTGAAATCAGCTGTATAAATATTAGCAGTTGCTCTTTTCTACAACCTTTTTTTCCTGAGAGGTTGTTACCAGACTTCTACATCACTTCCAAAGCAACCTTCTGTATTCTAATGTTTAATTGTCTGAATTTTGTGTGTGCTTCATTGAACCTACCTTTTAATCCTTCTAAGGTCTCTGCTTTCTTTTTCTACTGAAAGTTACTTAAAAGCAACTCCCTTCTCTCTCAAGACAAATCATATTTCTTTAAGAGTTGTACTGATAGTACCAACTGGCTAAATTGAAGAGTAGTTCACTCCTTTAACTTATTTGAAACTAATCATTGCCACACTGCTAAGCAGCCTTTATAAATCTTGTATCAAATTTGTTTGTGGAGAAAAGATTGAGAACTACCTAAGGATTCATATGGTAAAATGGGTAAAAAAACCATACTCCTGAATTATGTGTAAAATTACGTGCTGTACAATATTACAGTACCAGTAATTAGCTGTGTTCTTAGACTAATACATGTAGTACTTTAATGCATGCAGCCACTCACACCAAGCATGCACAAAACTTCAAAATATTCTTCACCTACACTTGCATGAAATTCCATCCATTGTGTAACAATTTTATGTGTTTTATTAACAATACACATTGGTGACAGAAACAAGTTAGTGTTAGAGTCTCAGAAGGAAACCTCTGACCTGCTGGAGCCATGTTTGCTTTGATGGCTAGAGATGCATTACTGCATGCATGGGCTCTTGCTTCTTCACAGTGACTCACTGGCTTCAGCAGTTCCATAAAGCATGCACAGATTCATTCACAGAAAACAAATATTTGGAGTTCTGACATTTGTTTGAGCTGGGGAGAGGCAAAATAAAAGTAACAGAAGCCAAAGGAGAGATAAGATGGCCCAGCCTGGAGAGCACCACACTGGGTTCCAGTTAGTCTTATGCTCACAGGACTCAGAGTTTTTTATTTGTAGAATCAAGCAAATTTGGCCCAGAGTCATTAAAGCCACAACAATGTGAAGCTTCTTTGTACTGTTTTTATGATCACTTGCTCTACATATGAGTGAATTACATAGATGATATGCAAGTCTACTCAAAAAGTGATCATACTTGCTCTTACAAACTTCTTAGGACCTAGTTGCAAATTTGCATCAGGATCAGCTTATTCTGGTAGGCTTAATACTAAAAAATTTGAAGAAAGCAGTACTTGGGGCCCCTCTGCCTAAACCTCCAACTTTTTTCAGGAATCTCAAGTGAGAAAACAAATGGTTACCATGCTACTTCCCATAACATTTCCATGATCCCACTTGATATGAAAAAAAATACTAATGTACTGCTTCTGAAGAAGATACTAAAAAGAACAAAAGATGCTTCTCTTCCTCTAATTGTCTTGAGATGTACAGAATTTGAGTAAACAGTTAAAGCACTTCCATACTTTTTTACTTAGACTCTGGACTGCATCTATTCTTTCAGTCAGAACATTACATCCAATGAAGGCTGAATTTTCTTCTCATGAACCATAGAAGTCAGGTCAGATACACATACTATCTTGCTCACTTCCATAAGGACATTTAGCAGAGGAAAATCATGACTTAAGTGTCTGAGAAAAAACTTTATTCTATCACTCCATTGTTGAATAACACACAAATACCAACAGTCACAGCTTATTTTCAGCATCAAAAGTGAAACATGGCAGCTACGTGATCTTTATTTAAAATGCAGTTTCACAAAAACAACTTCAAGAATTGCTCATTGTGGAGAAAATATTTTTTAATTGAACCTAGCTTCTAAGAGATGTTAGCAGCAGTTCAGTTTCCCATTAAATACTGAACTATTCCAACAACAGATTTGAATGAAGAGGTTTAGCAGCCTGATAGCCCAATAACTTGTGATGTAAAAGCTTTGCAGGTGTCTTCTTTGAACTAGGAATCTGGAAAAGCATGTCTTCCAGCGTGCTGGAAGTTATTTGTCCTGAAGCTTGTAGTTTTGTATATATCTTCTCTAATTTGGCAGAAAGGCTGGGAGTTTCTTCCATCTTTTCCCTGACTGTAGCCAGCTAAGGACAAAATACAACAGAACATTACAGTTTGGCAAGTAAAGATCTCAATCAACCACCATGCTGAAGACAAGAAATCACTCAAAGAAGTACACAATGTAAGAGACATGACTAACACAATGACTCATAAGAAGAAGATTATACACAGCATTCATTATTCATCACCAGACAACAGTGGAAATGCACTAGATACCTATCAGGGAGAGTTGATTAGATTTAAAACTTCCTCAAAGTTTTACAGTCCTATTTGCAGTCCTAGTACAGACTAACACAATTATTTTCTATTTAAACTCAGGAAACATAATTGCTTCCTGGAATCTGCTTTCCAGATCAGCACAACTCTAATCCTTATTATGTATCCCACTAAACGTACAGTACAAATCAATGAAAGTCAAGACTATAGAACACTGAGAAGTTCTGTATGCCATACACGGAGTATTAGTTCAAGTGTAAGTAAATATCTTAAACATTTTTACTGATCAATAACCATTTGTAGACGGAATGCGTTAGGACTGATGCTTTGTCTTCTTAGGGACTGTTACAAATTTGCCAAACAAAATCAAAACACGACATGGACACATGCAACATTTATTGCAATGAATTTACAAAATTAAATGCTGCTTTAAAAAAGTTATTATCAAGATAGTAGTTAATATACATGGGCTGTTTTGAAAGGTATGCCCCCCTTCTACCTACTATTTGTTATTTTACTTACCAATTATTAATTTTGTTTAACAAGCAGCAGTAAAAGTCTAAGTATTTAATTATTAACACAGCCTTAAAATATCTTGCTCTATAGACATGCTCAAAATCAATATACCCGTAAGTTTCAGGAAAAGCAGCAGCAATGTTGCAAAGCTGATAGGGCTACTTCCTCTGAAGGAAGCCCTCTTGGTGATCAATAAACTAAAAACTATCTTTTATAGTAAAATATGCATTTCTATATTTTCACTATATTTTCATAGTAAAATATAGTAAAATGGCAAAAACTATGATTTCTGACATCTCAGTTCCCTGGATGGCATCAGAAGTCTTTGCCTTTGCAAATATTACCAGCCTAACAATATCACTGTGATCCGAATTTTATTCTCATTTTTCCATCCAGTGAAATTAGCATAGAATGCAAGGGATGAAATTATTTAATGCCACTAGGGAATACTTCATCTACATTTAGATGAAATTTGAGCTTCTAAGATCAAAATCCACTTTGCCCAACAGTAAAAAGCCAGACAGCTGCTTTGGCATCTGAATGCATCAGAAGCAAAACAACTTGAGTAGGGCGAACACAGGCAGCTGAAGTTCCATAGCTGAACCTTGGTCATCATGGCTCAGCCAAGCACATGGACCTCTTCTCATTGTCGTATACTTACCACCTGCTCAGAAAACTCAATTTTTTTCACAAAGGGAGGAGTATCTACTTCCACTGCTTCCTCTAATGTCTTTATTACTTCTTCAAGTGAACCAGATTTGAGCTGGACAAGAACCTTAAAAATAAACCACACCACACATACAGTATTTATCATTAGAATGCAGGGGGTTTTTTTAAGTGTTTGAGGAAGGCATGAGGCAGTGCAGGACAAAATCAGTTCTAGATACCTCACTAATAAAAATTCATTAATCATGAAGAAAGCTGAGGAAATGACCAATTTCCATACAGGCTTGGTTTTATTTCAGAGCTGGGACCTGGAAAGAAAGAGTGAGCCTGGAGGCAGAGCTCCTCATTAGCTTTGCTTGAGTAAAGTTGGCTTTTCCATACCTTAGAGAGCTCACTTACAGGATACATGCTTTAAACTTTCTCTCAGGTTGTAGAACACACAATTAAAGAAAAATAATTGTTGTATGTCCATCTGTGGTCAAGGTTCATAGGGCTGAAGAAGGCCTGAAGTGGGCAGAGCACAGCTGATGAAGGCATTTACTTGGAGCTGTGTTTAAATCTCTTGTAGCAAGAAAGCAGAAAGTCACAATGTCATAATTTGAAATTGTTCATGGGTCTATACTTAAAGAAGTAGAACTGGTCTACTTTTCATTCCCATCTATGGAAGGAAGCAACTTTAAAAAATGGGGGGAGGGTGTTAACAATGAGGAATATAACACACATACAACTGACAGAAATTGTTGACTCAAACACAAGCTCTGCATCAATACCAACACATGCCTGTGCTACAAAGAAGCTGACCTTCTGTTATGTTGCACCTGGGAGTCTTTTGTTCAATATAGCATACTTCTCTGCAATATTCTAATACAATGCAAGCATACTTACTTTAAGATTACTATATAGTTTGCTCTCCGTTTTCATTATCTGGGAACAATAAAATTTGGCTAGCACTACATCATCCTAGAAAGGAATTACAAATAATTTAAAAAAAAACCTCAACAAACAATACAGTTAAACATGTATGACATACTCGCACAATAAAAGTTCAAGAAAAATAACATACTTTCACAACTTTTCAGTGAATCCCAAACCAGCATCTAGAACCCCCTCACCATGACCCATGGAATCTAAACAGTATCCAGCTTGTTAAAGGAGGAGTTCCCATGCCATCTGGCTCTTTAGCACACCAGACAGTACTGCTTGCCTCAGATCAGCAGGGAAAGGAAGCATGCAACCGACACTGGGCATGACAGCACCTAAAAGATCTACACACGTGCTCAGTACTTATATGAAGTGCAGTGTATGTTACTGTGGGTATTTATCTTGCCCAGCACTCTTAATCTTTTGGACATACACTTTTACAGTACCATATCTATGTCATCAACTGATTTGTATAGATAGTAAATGTTACACTGACATTTACGAGACCAACCACTGTTGCTTGGGATCAGGAACCATCTTTCAAAAATCAGCAGGATGCACTGACAAAGATCATGTAACTTAAACAGTAGTTAAGTGTAACAAGGAGCATTATTCTGTTTGCAAAACAAGAATTTTAACTGATTTTTACATAAAGCAACAGCATTAGGGGTATTTCATGTTGCTTCAGAGACAGATTTTGTTTTGTAACCTAAATGCCAATAAGAAGCTCTGTCATGCCATCAAGAACATGAATAAATTAATTTCAATGACACTATTGTTCAGTGTCTCTGTTCTCAGATACGGTGTAAATAGGACTACAGTGTGCCCAGGAAAATTCTAACAATTCCACTTCATTCATTCAAATCCATGAACAAAATAAAATCACTAGCTCTTACAGTGTCACTGACCTCTTTTTTTACATCAGGCAGCGAGCATTCAGAATCTCTTCAAACTGTATGCACAAATTAACAGCAGTGGAAACACTGGACTCCAGAATTTCCTAGTTGTTAATTCTCCTTTTCAGTCTTTCATCCTGCTTATGCACATGAGGTATATGAAAACCTTCCCTGAAGAAACATGTAGTGAATAACGACTGGCCATGTCCCAGACAAGGGTGTTACATATCATGGCCTTTGAGTTTGCCTCCCAAGATAAACATTTTAAAGAGATAATTGTGCAAATATTTTAAATTATCATTTAAATTCTATTTAAAGGAAACAATCATAAAACAGCAGCATCTGCATGACTGGGTCCAACCTTCATTTTCTGAAAATACTCTCTCTGGCATTGTCAGCAGCACAAAATAACTGTGCATTAGAAACAACACATGTTTAGATGTAATTTCCACACCCACTTTGTGTGGCGGTTGTCTATAATCCTACTCTTTCAGGGACCTAAGAATTCTGGCACTTGAAATTATTACATAAATCAGTTACATTTCCTCTATTTAGCTTCCTTTCACTAACCAACTTACTACAACATAGCTCTTTTGAACCTCTGTAGAGGTTCAGACACACATCAAAACACAAGGGACTGTACCTGCTTCAGAGCAGTTGCCACAGCAAAGCAGAACACTCGCAGTGGCAATGTGACACCCCTTAGCTGTGCTTCTTCAAGCAGTTTCCCAGAGATTTTCCAAGACTCTAGGTTGTCCTGTATATAAATTTCAAAAATACTTGTTATTCCTGTGATCTGAAAAGACAGTACACAACTGCAATCACATTTAGAAGGCATTCAAAAATCAACGTTATGTAAGATTCCCATGGCAATCCATGTATGAACCCAACCAAGTAGATTCTGTACAGCATTTCTTGCAACAGACATCAAAATATAATATTCAAAGCTACAGAGTTCAGAAGAGGGTAAGAATAATTTCCATTATTTTAACAGCTATGCCTTGCCCTAACTGTTCTGGCTTCTACAAGAAATAAAACAACTTCAGCAGTATACCAACTGAGATAACCAACAGACACTTTCCTTTCCTCTTTCCAATCACTCCCATATCAGGAAGAAAGCTGACTTTTTGTCCTTTCTTAATTCTAAAAGCTAAATTAGGTAGTGAATGAAAATAAGTATTTTTTAAGTCTTCTGACAGCAGGCCATGGAAAGAACTATGTAAAGATTTTAGGGAAGAAGCTACAGCAGAAGGACTAAAAGATATATCAGAGAAACACACTGGGTTTCTGTGAAAGCCTTGACCTCAACCGGCAAAGAATAAGCCAAGGCGCAACACTGAAAGTCGTAAGTATTGCCTTAGTGGATGCTACCAGCAAACACTAGCTTATGAACTTGAGTTGCTGTAGGGAATGGTTCATCTTCTCTCCCCCCACATAAGACTAAACAAAATGCCTTTCAAGCCAGCAAAACAAGAGCGGCATCTTTTTGCTGACTTAGGCAAGGATGGACTGGAACAGGCCCCTTGCTCTACCAGGTAAGTCCACAGCAAGAAAAGAGTATAAGGGTTTTGATTAACTGGCAGCAAAATGGACAATAGGCTAAAGCCTCTGACAGAGTATGTACCTGGCCAGTGTTAATTGGCTAATTTGAACAGTGGTACCTAATTCAAACAGTGATCTCTGATCTATAAAAAAGATGCCAAGTTCTGCAGGCTCTGCGGTCTCTGCCTGGCCTGTAGGACACCCTGCTGCAGGACCAGAAGCCACCTGGAACCCAGCACCACTGTTCGGAGGAGCCAAGAGGGCAGGGGGGGCTGCCCCGCATGCCCGAGCCTGACACCAGAGCCGGACACACACAAACACATGCACATAGACACACACTTCTCCCTAACTTTCCTGCTGGGCTCAACTCCTACCCTTTTACTCCATTGATTCCACACCTCTCCCTCGGAATGTACATTTAATAAGACCATAGTACCTTTGAATTATTTCCCTGACATATCCCTAACCTACCTCTCTTGAACCTTGGCCTCTTAGTTTGTGTTAACCCTTATTAAACTGGTTCATTCGTAAACTAAGCATTGGCCCTAGTAACAGTTTGTGGGCGTGGTGAGGGTGCTGTTTCTAGTCTCCAGCCAAGATTCGGCCCAGCAGCAATCGATCTTCCATGAGAGGTGAGCGGTGCCTGTGTCCTCGGTCTGTTTTCAACACCCCTCCACGCTGAGGGGAAGTCGTGGAGGCACTTGACAGCCTCAGTGACAGCATCAGCTCGGGACAGTTGCAAAAAGGCCCCTTCAACACAGAAGTGGTAACATCCTAACCTGACTGTAACCACAGATCTCTAGCTGTTTTTAACAGCAGACAACCTCTGCAGCTCTTTCTCAGCTTTGTCTACTCCTTCACTCTCTGAACACCAAAGTCACATGGCTATTTCTACTTCCCGTTACCCAAAGGCAGCCCTGATTCATTAGAACTGAGAATTTCAGAAACACCACAGAAATTACTCCTGAGCTACCATTTTAGGCCAACTCCTTTTTATCACATATGCACTGAAGTTTCACTGTGTGATTACCTAAAAAACCTCAGGACATTTATCTCAGTGGTATAATTTTTTCCTCAGATAGTGTCTTTCTTCCTAAAAACATGGAGAAATCGAAGACTTTCCTACTGAGTTTGGGAAGGGCTATGTTATTGTTTCAAATTGCAGAACTGACTCAAATCTGGAGAAGATAAAAAATAAATAAATTTGGGGATATCACTTTTCCTACAAAAAGGAATCAGCTGTAAGAAAATGCCTGTAGAACTTAGGTAGCCTAGTTTCTTACTGTGTTCATGCTTTCTCTCTGAGCTAAAAAAAAAACAATTAAGCTCAAGGGGCAGCCTGTCTCTCACTGAAGGCAATCATGTAGGTTTCTTTTCCCCACTCAGCTGACCATTTTCATCAGGCACGTAGGAACAGATTACCCTTGAGAACTCCAATCCTTGTCAAAGGAATCAAGGCTACTAGGAGGGTGGGGGGAGAAACGGATGGGAGATGTCTGACAAATAGAACATATCACATATATAGCTTGTTTCCTAAGGAAGCCAGTCTATAAAACCAATGTTGAGGCTCAAGGATAAAGTATAGTCTAAAGATCACAGATCCCAGAAAAAGAATAATATCAGCTAATCAAAGGCTGTATCAAATTTGTTACTTAGTGCCTATGCCCAGAGATTTGCTTTGTCACATCAGTTTGTATGGAAAGCTATATATGTACACCATACCATGCACAATGGAGCAATTTAGGACTTAAAATATGTCTAAAATATGTGCACTAGTTCAGATACAATGACAGGGAACATATAAAAATTTTAAAATAAAAAAAGGAAGAGACACAATACATTTTAAACACTTTTTCATCATGTAAGTTGAAAATACTTACAAGTTTGTAGCATATTGCAAATGCCAGTAGGTAAGTTTCTTTGTTGAAAGGTACACCTTGTTTTTTCATTTCTGCCAGAACTTCCAAAGCACCTATCACAAACACACTAGAGTTATTATCTTCACACACTTAAAGCTGTACATTAAGAAACTAGGAAAAAAAAATAAAATCAATGTGGTATGAGCTAAGTAAGTGTACTTCGAAATATGAATGTAAACTCATTTGGGTTTTTTTAATTAATACATTTTAAAAAGTTTAATTTAGGGTCAGTGAGATGTAAATAGTTCGTCATAGCAAGGAGGTTTTCATTCTACATTAGTATTTGGCCTTACTGTTCTACTGTATTCGTACACATCTAAAACTAAATTCTAGGTTCAGGCTCAGATCTAATTATCTTTTCAATACCTCAGTTTCAACTTTAGGACAAGCACTGGACTCAGACTTGCCAAGAATCAAGATATCAAGTTCTATGTGTTCAACAAATTTCAAATAAAGGGAGTTGCTTGAAAAACTTACTCCAAACTCAGTATTTTCTCAGGGGAAGTTTTTTTTCAGTCAGATCAGATTATTCCCCCTTATCCTCACAAAAGGCTAAGCTGATTTGAAGCTTTTGACTAAGTGATAGCAGTAGCCACTCTGTGTGGACACACTAGTAAGACAAACCAAGAAAATACTATGGTCTGTTTTTGTCATGAAAAGAAAAAGGGCACTCTTCCCTGCTCTGATGCAAATACAGAATTTGCAAAATTTGTTGAAGAACTTACTGCTTCAAAAACTATGTAAAACCAACTTTGAACAGGGAGAACAAAAAGCTATGGGAAATTCCAAACCAAAGAGAAGTTAAGACTCCAGAAAAGAGAGGAAGCAAGTCCCCGTGGATACTCACAATTCTGTGCAACTGAGAACGGAAAGAATTCCATTCCAAGTATTAAATAAATACTGACTTTCATTTTTATTACACACTACAGTGCAGCTCATTGACATGAACACATGAATATATATGATATTTGGCCTTCTAAAAGCATAAACCAATCAGCAATATTATACACAAACACACACTTGCAGTGAGAAGAATCCTCCTCCACATGCATGTGCCTTAGCAAAACAGTACTTACTTTCAAAATGGCCCTTTTTAAACAACATAGTCATCAAAATATGGAATGATGTACTCTCCGAGAAAAAACCACGCAAATTCTGGAGAAGAAAGATAAAAACAGAGCAAGCGTAAAGAAAGTTAGAGCAGTAAGCATTCTTCCTGTGCACAGCATTTAGCAGGTCTTCCTACCGGATTAAGTCCCATTTTCACAAGTTCAACATTTAACAATCTGGGTTCCCTGACAGCCCCTGTCATGTAACCTCTAAAATACCAGTATCTCAGTATGGTCAAAAGCTCACTAAAATTAAACAGAAATTTCCCAGAGATTCCCACTATGGTTTTTTTTAACTGACAGATTATGACCTCTATGTTAATGCAAGCAGAAGTCACTGACTAATAGCAGCTCCAAAATCTCAGCAGAAATATGGCTTTCAGCTAGTTAACAATACCCTTGGGGGAAAGTACCACCACCATGAAACTGAAATAACTTTTTGCTAATCACAATGTCAAATGAGGAGCAGATCAGCACAAGGGCTAGAGTGATAACAAGCAGAGGAGCAGAAAAAGAAGCAAATATATTTTACATTTCACTTCCATCACACTATGTGCTGGGAACAGCCAAATAAAATGTAAGGGGTATTAAGTCTGAACAGCAGAGTCTGGAGAAGTGCACTGTACCTTATTATCCATCAGTTACCTGTTTTAATGACAGAGATCGTAATAAAAATAACCAATCAACCCACCAAAAGAAACCCCCCAAACCCACACATACATGACTTGTTTAAGAAATAGTAGCCCAAGCAAGACTTCTCTCATTTCTGGGTAGGCATATCTCATGCCTCAATGAATTAACATCATAGAAGTGACATTCCATTGGCTGTCAAATATTTTTGAAGATACAGTATTATTGCCCAGGATCTTTGAAGTTTATTACACACTGGGCATGATTAATATCCTGTCACAATAGCATACATGGCATTTTACAGATATTCAAAACCAATTTCTTAAGTTTCTTCAGCACTAAAACAGCCAAGTTCCTCAGCTAAATGAATATGAATATCATACCACTTCTACAGGGTTCAGAGAGAGTCTGAAGTACAGAGTAACAGGATAAATCAGTTGGTGCAAATAGTCCAAGGGATTTCAAAGGAGTGCTGCATAAAAATTCAGAAGTGTTCATTTCCAAGAAGGATATAACACAACAAAGGATGTAGGAAAACATGTTAATTTGAGGAATTATTTTTTAACTAATACTTCTTATTCAAATGATGCAATTATACATAAGTACAACAATAATGTTTAATATTTACTAAATATTTATTAAATAATTTATTTTTTCTTTTAATTACTGTTTTTCTATATTAAAAACAAAAAACATGGAATCTTCATTTTCATATTAATGTCATAGACATACTTGCTACTGCAACACATATACTTCAGTCTAGGTGTTCATGAAAGGCTCATGTAGCATACCAATTACTTACATTGGACTAATAATAATATTTTCAAAATATATAGGGGAATTACCTGATCTTTAATAAGTTCTACTGCAGGCCTTTCAAGGTCTAGCTCATAACATAGTCTCATAAAGAGGGGCCCAAATTTAAAATCATTTAAGGCTGTGATTTCATTCTGTTCATGGTACCTATTAGAAAGATGAAAAAAAGTTAGTCACATAGAGCACGGAAATTGTCAGACAAAACCAGCTTTAACAGACTGCAGGATCTGTATGTGCAATGTGCATGTGATTCCCTATCTGCACCAGGAAATGCCTTAAGATAGTGGGAGATTAATTATATGGAAAAAGTATTGTTTTGATCAACTAATCAATTAACTAGTAATATGTAATACTTTCCATTTCCAGTAAAGTAACCTGCCTTGGATTAGTAATAGAGTGGGTCTCTACCATAAAAATTTGCAGCTACTTTACTTTCTATTCACAGAGCAATAGCATGGGAAGTTGCAGCAATCTATTTTAGTAGTGATACCTCCTAAAATACTCCATAACTTTTCCTCTCCTATGCTAAAAAAATAAGTAAACAAAGTTTTGCTTTTTTCTTTATAGCTCTACACTGTAATTGTTGGGAAGGCTTTCATTCACAAAACTTGCTGACCTGCCACTGCTGGGTGCAGGCCAGTTTATAAGTAGGTGTGTCTTGGCTGGAAAATGCCATTGAACACAGTACCACCTCTCAGCTGAGAGATTACATTTCTGCATGGCTCACCATTTTTTCGGCATATGCTAGGACACCACTTTGCTCCCATAGCTTGGTCCTCTTTTGATCTGAAAGTCTCTGAGTGTTCGAAGATCCCAAATGAATTAAAATACAGCCTTAGTTTATGGGATTAACTATGCACATAGCCACTGAATCAGGGCAAGCCCTCAACTGCAGACATAACCTGAGATGATCTAAAAAAAGCAAAAAAATAAAGACAGAAAAGATTATCACAAATACCTGTAAATAACTTTTCTGGCTAGTTCCACATCAGATGAAGTCTGACATAAATGCAGTACATTTTTTAATTCATTTTTGAGAATCTTTCCATTTGTCTTTAATTTTTCTTTAATACTTTTAAAATACGGATCTGAAAATGAAACATATTATAGGAGCAGTCTATAAACAATTCCTTTATTTTTACAGCATACTGATACCTGAAACATGGAGATCAAATGAAGCAGAAAGCTTGTTTTTTTTTCATCAGGAAAAATACATAAAGCTTCTCACAGACAAGCATGCCTAGGTGTCCCCAGTTGTCTCCATGAAGTCACATCACACTTGGAAGACCAAGAAGCTGCTTATTGTGAACTTAATTGCACTGTTTATGTTATAAAATGCATCAGCTAATACAAAATTTTAAAATGGAAGGATTCAGTCAGCATTCATATGAGCATGAGCTTATCCTCAACACTGTTCATAGAGAAGATTTAAATTCCTTCAAAACTTATGGAAGCACAAAGAGCGCCATATATAGTCAACGTGTTTCTCTATACATAGCCATAAACTTAAGAGTTGCTTCCCTTCCCCACTTCAAAAAAGAAGTTTCTCTATCCAGTATATTTTGCTCTGACAAAGCAAGTACAAAGATATGTCCTTCAGTTGGCAATCTCAGGACTCTGATTCAGACATAAAACAAGATTAAAATGACATCTACCACCTGGCAGCACCATTTCTCTAATGGTGCTGCCTGTCCCCCTGCAATCTTGGGTATAGAAGTGTACTTTTTTTAGCAGTGGCTGCGTCACTGCTGTTTCCCAGCTAGCAACCTACACAAGAAGTGCCATGTGAGCACCCCAGAGAACAACATGCTCAGCTCCTGCTCCTCCAGGAGCTGCTCCATGGAAATACGAGTTCTTACTCAAGACCGAGATGCAGAACTAAATCCTACAGAGTCAGAAGATGTGTGTGTGTGTGTGTGTCTGTGTGTCTAACCATGTATATATAATGGTTGTGATGCTTTCAAAGGTGCATAGACATTTAAAAAACATCTGGGATCTGAACTGTATTTGTACAAAACACAACATAGTAACTATAAGTGCTGTAGATAATGGTGTACTTTCTGTCATTACTAATATATTATGGTTAATAGTTCTGTAATATAGAATAGCTACTGTATATCGTGTGTAACAGAATAGTTATGACTGTTTTTACATTTCCAAGTTTACTATTCACCCTAAATACTTCTTTTTGTCTTTCAACTATCAGACTAAACACTGAGCACAGACACCACACACACACACAAACAGGTGCCAAAGGCTACTCTTTGTACAAAACAAAAACATCAGCTGTGACCTGTAGAGCCAAATATTTGACTTTTACAAACCTGTTTTAGCAAGCACAATTGACCCACAGCAATAAATTCAATGTATCTCAAGTACAGAACGAATAATCCTCAATATGAATACGTCATAATCACAGCAAAATACAGTGCCTGATTTAAATTCTTTCACTTAATATAGAAAAATAGTCATGTTGACTTTGTGTCCCCTATCTGTCCCAGAATGCTGGTTTATCTAAAACTAAATGGGATTCCTGGTATCTTTCTTGAAAAAAAATAAGATAAAAATTAACTGTATTCTTCAGAACAATTGTCAATTTGTATCACTAGAACACCTGCACATGATGAAAGAGGTGCAGGAAATGGAGTTTTACCTAATCTTTCTTAAATATTAAGACCACATTAACCTTTTTATTTATGTGCCTTAAGGAGAGGAATTTGTATACACTTTAAACAGCATGAAAAAAACCCACATCAGAAAAGAAATCTATTAACCTTGCTCCTTCATTAGTTTTAAAAACCTGCATTTGTTTTTCCTGTTCTGAGTATGCATATCTCATCTGGAACTGGATGTACAAGTGCGAACTTATAGTAGGTGAAAAGAAAAAAAATCTAAAAGAATAAGATAAGCAAATTTACAGAGTAGATTAAAAGCAAATTACTGTCAGAGTTCGTCTCTGGGTAGTTCAGCAGAAATCAAGATTTGTATTAACTTTCTCTGCTGATGATACATTTGAAGCAAGAAACAGTATTTTCTATAAGGCTGTCTATTTGAATTTGGAAAGCAAGGATACAGACATTTCAGGTCTTATCTTGCATACTTAAAAGCTTCTCCACACTTTACAACACAGCAAAACTAATATTGTTTCATCCTCTTAAGCCTCAGATCTTCCAATAATTTTAGCTAAAAAAAATTTGCAAGAGGAAGACATAAGTTGTTGCTTTATGTGGGGTCAATTGGTGTCATATTATAATGACTTTTACTGTCCTGTTTCCAAGCACTCACACTAAAATTGAGAATGGTGATTATGAAATAAGTAATAATACCTTTGTTGCCATGAACTTCATTTCTAATTGCCATTTTCATCTGCTGAAATTCTTGCAACTTTATGTGATCTTCTGTTAGCAGATACCGCTTCCCTATCACATGAAAAAAAGAGGAAGGTTGAGCTTTGTCACACTGTTTTAATTCTACTGAACTTTGAATTTATTAATTACTGCATATAAGTAATTAACATAATTAACATAACCACTGTGTGATGCCAGAGCACTGGCAGGATGCTACTAAAAAAACACTGCAAAAATTACAGTTGCTTACATCAAAAACAGAAGAACCTGAGCACCATGTCACACCTTTTCATAGTTCCTGTGCACAAGGATGAAGCAGTATGTATTTACTGGATGTGCAAAAGAAGAACTAGAGACACTATTCATCTTCACCTAGCCAAGGTACAAGGGGATTCTGCACACGATCAAGATCTTTCTCCCCTTTCACGCTTTTATAATGATTTGTATTGGCATTTCTTTGTTCACCACAAATCACTAATGTCACAGCTTCCTTTTCTCACATGTGCTGTCCTCAATACTGTAGAATCCACTGTTCTGGAAGCTCCAAATGCAGCAGGACAACAAAAGGAAAAAACACAAACCTTATTATTTGGATTGTAGTAACACTCAAGAGATCTAGTGAAGTTCTGTTGCAGTACAGACATCAGAGACAAGACAGTCATTGAGTCTAGAATCTCAAAATTAACTTTGGGTGCTGACCTCAACTCTACTGCGTTGTAAGCTGCTTTAACAAAAGTGTCATGCAAATGGTATTTGTGAACTTTTTGCTGCCACAAACCCAGCTATCCAGTAGATTTTTATCTGCATTCAGTGATTTGGTAGCAGAGAGTGACTGTAATAGTTTTTGTTATCATGATATAATCTTTCAAATGACTCTAACCATGAAGGGACATGAGCAAGTATTGACCAGAGTTAGGATTTTTATTCTTCTTCTGTACTTCCCTAGCAAAATGTAACAGGCTATGCAAATAAAGACTTGTCTACTATGCAAGCAAAGCATGCTAATAATACGCCATAAAATATGAAGAATTAAATCCATTAAATGGCACCTCTCGCCATTAAATTTAATGGAAATTGTTCCAATGGGTAAACAAATACATTTTACCCAGCATGAAATTTTTCTTGATTACCTTGCCATTTACTTTCCACGGTCCTTCTAAGCTGGTCTAACAGTGAAAAACAGCTCCTGTCCTGAAGCTGTGCAGGGCAGAGGCCCGAACCACGCCGGGGCCTGGGCTGGAACAGGCCCGCCACACTGCACGGACACTCGGAGGTCACCAGCGGTGCTGGCAAAGCGTTCGGGGAAGCAGAATTTTACCCTTCTTTAATTCAGTTTGTTGATTTCTACCACTTCCTTAGATTCACGCCTTAGGGCGTTACAGGGACAAGTGAGTGCAAAACCCAGGAAGAGTGCCTTTGAGGAAAAAGAAGGGATGTTGGCAAGGTGGCTGGTAGGCACAGGCACCGCAGGGAACTTCACCAACCAACCTGCCCGACCCCGGATGTGCCGCAGCCCTCCCCTGGGGCTGGCACCGCCGGCTCAGGGCCCCGGCTGCGGAGCTTCTGCCACACACCTTCCTTCCACAATTCCTGGCAGGAACCACCGCTCCCGGCAGGAACCACAATTCCCGGCAGGAACCAC